TTTAACCCAGAAAAGGAATTAGATTAGTCACTCTTTAGTTTATTTTTTCAGAAACTGTAGAGTACTCACTATCTAGATGCAGAGACACTTTTGGATTGAGACTACTTTTCCTTTTAATTCCTGTAAAGCACTTTGTATTGCCTTGTTGCTGAAAATGTGCTATATAAATAAAATTACCTTTACCTTTTTACCTTTAATTTATTTGTGTTTTGTTTGTTTCTTAGTATTACTCTTGTCTTCTGTACCTTCTGCATTTGAATTTAGATTCCTTTGATTAGAGGAATCAAAGGAATCTGAAAGGATATTTGTTAATATCCTTTCATCTTCCTGCTTTCCCTCAGCCTGCCTGCTTTGCCTCCTGTCACAGCTGCAGCCTCTTACTAATCAACCAATCACCTGTTTCTTGTTCAGCAATTACACTCCTCAGTAATCACTGATTTCTTGAGAAGGAAAAATTTTGTCTATGGAAATGTTAAGTTTCAGTAAGTTTGTGGCTTACCACAATAAACCACAAATGTTTCTTAAGGAATTCAGCTTCCGCTTTCTTCTTCTTGTAATTGGTATTAGCAGAAACAGACAACTAACGCTGAGGTGTTACGCTCAATGCACTTGGTTGGCAGTAAACAGTTGGAATGACATGGCTTTACCAGAAAATCTTATTCAAATATTTACAATCGTGAAGGTGCTGGTCTGAAGGATTTAGGCTCTGTCGTTATCTGTTTATTTCTTTTTTGGTGCAACTCTTAACTTTCCAAGCGTGTTCAGTTATTGAACTTCAGGGACTCTGGGTTGTGAATTTGGACCTGATTTCCACACTGAGCCATGTAACCAGAAGTTGAGAAAATTCTTCTTCTCTACGTGCTGTTTGGCATGAAATGAAAGCATGAAAAACAATGTTGGGAAGCTGTTCAAAATGCCCTTCATCACTTCCTGCATCAGCAATTTGGTAGATGTCAAAATTTAATTTAATCTGCCTGCTACTGCTTTTTAATGTTAAATGCTGACGTATTATTTTCAGGAAACAAAACTCCATAACTGAAAGAGTATTTTTAGAATTTGGAACAAATTAACTTTCATCATAAAAGATGAGTCATTCTTGTATTTTTTATGTTTTCTCATTAGAAAGACTCGAGGTGGTGCATGACTGATTCTCCAAGTTTCCGTAGTGGTGACACCAGTTAGACAAAAAAAAAAAAAAAACTCCTAGAAATGGAAACCTTGCAGTTTTACATGAAATTCAACAGAACAAAAAAAAAAAAAAAAAAAAACGACTTGCGATAAATGTGGAAATTACATAAGATCCTGATGAAATCTAAGAGACGTGCATCAGAAGCTTATGGTAAGCTTCAGGTCGTTGTTAGAGAATGCAGAAAATAGTGGCATGTTGAGGTCACCGAGTCCAGATGCTACATTGCAACCAGATGTTGTTGGAGAGGCATGCCGAGATAAACATGTGGAGCTGAACAATGCTACAGGGATTTTAACTCATGTGGTCTGGTCAAAAGAATGAGAATTAAAAAAAAACACCTCATGGCCACTGTTAAGTGGCCATGAGGTGTTACATTACAGATGTTGGAGGATCTGTAATGCTGTGGATCTGTTTCCCTTCAAAAAACAACTGAAACATTGTTAGAAAGCATTGCACTGCAAACTCTAAAGTACCTGAATACTTTAAAATCTGAGTTTTAAAAAAACTGTGTATTTGCTGCTTCTTTCAGTGGAATAATGACCCACATTTGGCTAAATGGGTGACCAAAAGAGAGATAATTCCTGGATAATGGAAAATACAGTAAAGCAACAACAGCAGGAGAGTTAATAAGCATGATGCTGGGGATGTGCTTTTTAACAAAATATATAAATTATTTTTAACGTAGATTTTTTTCCAGCCACAGAATGAATTTAAGGTTGTTGTTTTTTTTCTCATTTTCTTCAGTGTGATATAAAATATGAATTAGTACATCATTATTATTGGCCAGAAAACTAGCAAGACTTTGTTAATTGTCTAAATAAACATAATTTATTTGTTAAATTATAAATAAGCAGTAGCACAAATGTAATCAGCAGGTTTTGTTTGTTTTCACCTTGGACAACTTGAAGTGAAAAATCTTTAAAAAAAATAAAAAACATGAGAGTACTGACCCCTACTGGACATTCAGAGGTATTACAGATATCTGACCTTTTTTTATATTATTTTTTGTTAGGAAAAATTCAAGCCTGCAGCTTAAAAACAACACTCATACAGAATATTTATTTCTAAAATAAAGAGTATATGTACTTGTTTTGTGTTCATAAGCAGAAATATACCTTTTTTTGAAGAAAGAAATAAAGTAGAATATGAAAAGTAGAATATGAAAAGTAAAGTAACAGTAAGACTGTTACTTTTGTGACAATTGCTCATTACTTTCTCTTACTTAAAAGGGACACGTTTTCCTGCTAATTTATCAACTGACTTGTTAAAAAAAAATCAGTGGTATTTGAAACAGGAGACAATGCTTCACATTGAGCTTTGAAGGTCCCACATCTAACGTTTCAAACTCCACTAGTCACATTTTTAATCATGTTTAGCATTTTAAGTTGTAATCTTCAGCAACAGTTGACACATATAATTAATTATGTAAGGCAACAGAAGTTTCTTCAAAGTAGAGGAGGAAAGTGTAGCGTAACAGAGGAACAATTGTTGAACTTTAAAGACAGGCTTTTTATATGTTTGCTGTAAACTTCGTTTTCTGGGCTCCTTGTTCCTTACTTGTAAGTTGTGTACAATAGCCGCCTGTGTGTACATAAAGAGCTCTGCTTCCAGGAGCCAATGCACTGAGGCGTGCTCTCCACCAGTCAATAGGATTGGACACCTGGGTGTGAAACGCTGAGGGGAACCAGAAGTTGAAGAAGGAATTAACGCCTGAATGAACTCAGCCATGTTATTGTGGTGGTAATGAGCAGATTATACTTCTGGACGCACATTCACCATGCATCTGAAGCAGAGCAGAAGTTTGAATTAGTCTTTGGAAAATGTTTAAGCAATTAGAGCACTTCACTTTTCTGTATTTTATGTCCCAGACTTATTTCCAAAGGGATTGAGTTGAATTCTACAAAAGAAAAATCTGATAATTTAGTCATTTTATTAAAGACAAAAAACAAAAATCCCATATGTTATACATATTCTATGGTTTCACAGCCTTTGACAATGGATTAAAACACTAAAACTTGAACTACGTCCACAGATTCAAACTTGACTTGAGCCCACTTGTGGTTCAGTCAGGTGGCTGGACTTGATATGGAAAAACTCGCCTCTAGTTTTCTGTCATCCTCACAGAGAACTAACGTTCCTGCGTGGAAAGAGGAGAATTCTCCAGAAGGACAACCATTTCTGCACCAACTCACCAATTAAACCTGAATCGCAGAGTAATCAGACGGAAACTCCCATCCCGGTAATGAGTAAATGACCTGGAGGTTTTCAAAGAGAAACTGAACGGCCTGGTTTGATGAAAGGAAACTGAACAGTTTGGTCTGGATGCCAAGCTTCATGGCATGTCTGAAGGAAACCAGACAAGATCCAACATTGTTTTGAGATAGAACCCAAAACTTTAACCTGAACCTGATTGACATTTGTGGCAAAGACGAAGCTGTAACAGCTACCAAAGCAGCTTAAACAAAGTATTTTGTAAAGACTGTGAAAATGTATGTTTTTCTTTCTTTTTGTTGGGTAAATTTTTCAAACTTTCAAACTGTTCCACTTTCTCATTATGGGGAATTTTGTGCAGAATTTGCAAAAGGGAGCTACATTCAAGGGGGGATATTCAAAATCAAGCATTTTTTTTAATCTTTTTATCATGTCACAAGGTTATCACGTCATAAAAACATACCCAGAAAGTTGCTTTGACTGATTCATGTGTGTTTCAGAAATCCTTGAATCTCCTATGATAGCCATTTGGATGTGCAAAACGCTTGGGGAGACTGAGTGAGGTCTTTTCCACAAAGCTCCTCCTGGAGCTGAAGTCTTCAGGCTCCTCCAGACTAGCAGCCGCAGCAATTAGCAAACACCTGGTGGAACTGTGAGCCTGTTGATCTTATTACCAAAACTACTCAGTCCAACGCTCCTAAGAATGTTGCTAAAGACTTAATGGAGAAACATTATTGTGATGACATGCAGAAAGCGGAGTGTTGGAAAGAGCAGGAGCTTCTTAAAGACACAGTGGCCCAATTTTAAAGGGCAAGTTTCTTTTAAATCATGTTCAATATATACAGCATTTTTATAACTGCAGTCATATAATGTAATGATATATGTGATATAATGTAATATATTTACTTGATTGTGCTGTAAAATGGTACCATGTGCCTCGAAAATACACAATACCTCCCACTGAGGTACTCTCACTCCCGTGAGAGTAAATACTTTCCAGATGCTCTGTAGGTATGTATAATAAACCTTTTAATCTGAGTGACACATGAAACCAGAGAAATGACAACAACAGAAGATCCAATTTTACACTTTATTGAAAGTTTAATAGAAAAAAAAACGTGACTCTTTTGATAACGATTCAAAATTATAACAAAACACAAAGACAGTTCTTCCTAGCAGCATGATTTTAATTCCCAATCTAATGTGCTCACTGACCATGTTAGATCATGTTGTACATTGGATTAAACAAAAGGATGAAACAGTAGAGCTGGTGTGGGACAGAAGTTTGCAGCTTTGCAAAGTGCGGAGAGGCAAGAGGCTTAGTTTCAGCAACCTGCTGGAGTTGACGGAGAACGAAAGCTTAACAGACTTCTGCACTGAAAGTCTCTGCATATTTCAACATGTAAGGCTGCGGGAAGGCCTGGGCTGAACATGAACGTAGGACCATAAGCAACAACGACCAGCGACACCAAACGGTAGCTGTGAAAACACATCTGCAACTGGAATAATGGCAACACACATATAAAAACTTTGTAGTTTCTGGTACATATGAAAGACACAGAAAGGTTCACACGGTATTCAGAAATTCAGATCTTTACTGGCAAAAACACCACAACAGAGTATTCTTGCTGGAAGTCCGGCAGTCTATGAGGTGCAGACATGTTGTGTGTCATGGCTCAGATTTCAAACAATCGGTCCTTCAGCTATCGGTTTCAGGTGTTTGTGTGGTTTGGTAGTGAGGTAAAGCACACCAGTTAAAAAGTAAAGCAGACTGAGGTCAGAGGAGTGCAGGGGAATGGCCCACTGCACGGCAGAATAACAAGACCGGGGTGTTACAAAAAAGTCTGGACTCACTTCAAGCCAGTGAGGCCGATAATGAGATGAAACTTAAGAGGCCAGCTTCTTCCTTCTGGCCGCTTTTAAATAAGAACAACAGATTAATTGCTTAAACACACAGCTCGAACTCTTTCAAGTTCGCCCGGCCTGTTTAGCATGAATTCCAGAGCGATGCAACAACTGGGAATTGTGCCCTAGGGAGGCTTTACCTCGTCTCACGTCAAACGGAGCATGAATTATACCTCCTGCACCCCACACCGAGGCTTCAACCTGCAGACTGTGTGGTTGAAAGGTCTGCAGGTGAAGAGAGCAACTTGAGAGAAATGCAAAGAAAGGAAGCCTGGGTTGTTATTAATTAGAAAAACACATGTTCATTATGAAAACAAGAATTAGTGTTTGGAGCTCATTAAGGTGAAACACAAGAGGCCCCACTGTGTGCATCTACTGCAGCTCGCAGCTTTGAATGCTGAATAAACATTTACAGTGCTTTGCAAAAGTATTCAGGCTCCTCGAACCTTTCCGCACTTATTTTTGTTTCAACCACAAACCTCAGTGTATTTCAGTGGAACTTTATGCAACAGACCAACAGAGAACAACGACTGGGAAATGTTGCAGAAATATGAGAATTGTGGTTTAAAGTCTTTTTTACTCTGATACTACATGAGGTTCGGCCCAACCAAAAGTTGCCTAATAAGCAAACAGAGTCCACCAGGATCTTGAAATGGTATGGCACAACTCTGAAGCCTACCAAAACACGGCCATACATCAAACCTGACACAACAGAAAAGGATACACTACGCCACAGGTGTAGCACGGTGGTGGCAGCATCATGTTGTGGGGATGCTACCGGCAAGACCAGGGAAGCTGGTTGGAGACGTGGATCAACTGAATGGAGACATCTATGGTTTAGATCAAAACATAAACATTTGTTTGAACGTTTCAAACAACAAACACACCCTTGTCAGTGTGAAACATGGTGGTGGCAGCAACATGCTGTGGGATGCACATCTTTGGTTGGCAACACAAACAACCCCATGGAGGAACACCTGTTAGAGGCTGGAAAAGATTTGAGATTCACTTCTGAACAGTGACTATGAATTTGACCAATAAATGATTAAGCCACCATCTTTTGTTAGAATGGTCTAGTCAACGCTTGAGTTAAATTCTATTGGGAATTATTGCTAAGACCTGAGAAATGACTTCTGCAAACATTCTCCATGTAATCTGACTGAGCTTGAGTTATTTTGCTGAGAAAATCGACAGTCGTCTCTGGCAGTGATGTCACAATAAACACCTGCAGCTCTAGTCTACACACCACTTTGTGTTGGTCAGTCACATAAAACAATATGAAGCACGGATGTTTGTGGTTGTAATGTGATAAAGTGCAAGAGCAAGAACACATTTTTAAGGCACCGTATCATCAGGGGTATTCAGAATTCAGCGGTCAGAGTAACAGGACCAGTGATGCTGCATAGACAAAAAAAAACTTTGGCAGACTAAAACTCACACACACCTTCAGCCATCTAAATGCTTCCTATCACTCTACATCCACTCCGTTCCTTCACCATTATATGTTAGCTCTAATCTCCACAAATAAGCCAGCACAGCAAATCTCCTGCAAACAGCAGCAAATGATAACTCATAAACCATTAGAAATGACATCGAATCAGTCCATTTCCTCTTTTAAATCGACTGTAGTTGATCAAAAAAAAAAAAAAGGAGCACTTGGTTGGTTCTAGGAACTAGGTGAAAGTAAAGTCTGGTTACTTTTAATTTGTAAAAAGTCACACTGAGGGAGGACATGCAGGGATTCTTCAAAGCTAAAAGCAAATCCTGTTCTGGTGTGCAGCTTGACCACCTGCTAATGACACGGTTAATGTAAGGCAGATTTCCACTCAAGGGTTTTCACAGGTTAACGCATCACCACTTGGTTTTAGTTCTTTGCAAAACAAGAAACGACTTGCATAAAAAGTCAAAGCTGCTGACTAACAAAGTGACGACAAAGTCATTATAAAACAGGGCAAACAATAACCACTCAGACCATATATAAACAGAATCTGTACAAGCTGTTAATTGGCAGCTGGTTTCACCTTGATGATCCTCCTTTATGGCTGCCAGACGATTTGGCCCTTTGGACAACTTTTACACCCCCAAACGTTTCCCACAATGTGTGACTTTAGTGGGCCCTCCTTTACTTACAGGGATCACTAAGTGCAATGTTTAATTCCAACAATAATTGAATATTTTTACTTCAGTGCAGGAGCTAAGTATCAACACACTTCTGTATTTATTTAAATAAAAATATTTCATACAATCGTAACAAAAAAACAAAATCTGCAAGGGGCATTTGTTTACTAATGCGGTTTTCATGCAGCTTTTATAAGCAGCTTCTTCTGCAATTTTGTTTAACCACAAAACTTAAAAAAAAAACTCACAACAAACAGAAGGATATTTCCTTAAAGGATATAATAAACATACTTTTCTAAAACATTAGTGCATAGCTTAAAATATCAGTTTAAATGAACTCCAAAGCTTAAAAAACTTAGACAAACCGGTGTTTCTGATCTCCTGTCTTTACAGTCGAGTGTTTCTGTTGACTCATTTAAGGATATTTCACATTTATCCAAAGGTTTCTTTAGCAAAAGGACATAAAAAAAACAACCTACAGACAAATAGCAGGGACATTTAAACTGTGAACATAAAAGTAAAAACCGACAGCTAATAAATGGGAAAGTCAAGAGGAAGAACAAAAACATTGGAAGTAAATGTTGGCATGATCAGTGAAAGGCATTTGGCAGAACTGTGGCTCACACAAAACAGAAATACAACAGAGAAATACTAGAAATGGAGAATGTAAGCATGATGTTCAACTGGACTGCTGAGGAACATTTGATTACTGAGGTATAAGAGTTCAGGAACCGTCAGTCGTCTGGCAAAGCCAGCAGGAAACCTCTCAAGAGACGAGGTTTGAGTAACTTTCAGGCTGCACACTGTCACAGCACAACAGCAGACCTGATAATAACAAAATCTAAACAAACAGGGAAAGTTAGCTGAGCACCACAGCATTCCCTTTTCCCCACTTCACCTTTTGCTGTTCCTGTTTCTATCCGATCACATTGCTTGAGCGGTGCAGCTTCGCTTCACGTTTTAATTTACAGCACAGCAGAAGCAGGTGGTCCCAGTGAGAGAAATAACTGCAAAACTGCCCCGTTAGGGTCACCAGGGGTGTGATGTGTTGCATTACTGCCTCAACAATACTCTGTGCCCTCCAGTGAGTCTAATGAAAAGCAGCAAATTAATGCAATTATCTAAGAAACGGCCCAAGCTTGGCTCATTTGGCAACATCATTACAAGACGTCTGCAATCAAAATAATCAGCTGGCGCACTCTAACCAGCCTCAACCTTAAAACTAATGAGTAACACTGCGGTGGTCACGACTGCAGTGGATTAGAACTTTTGTGTTCTGTCGTGGATGACGGTTTTTCCTTTCGATAAGGAATCACATTTAGATGTGCAGAATTTGGGCGAAAACAAACAAAAAACCCCGTTTTGTTACATTCAGGACATTTCTGCAGAGTTATGGAGTCACTTCTGAAAGGAAGGGACATCATGTTTTGTTCTTCAGATTTGATTGTCACAAACCACAGACTATTTCTTATTCAAAATTAATCGTGACAGGATTGTGTGAGCTGATATTTGCTCTGACATCGCACCACCTGCTATTCTTCCTTTGAAGAAGGAAGAATAGCCTAAAGGGTATATTTTACATTTTAGAAGCATAAAACATACAAAAGAAAAAACAAATCAGTGAAATATAATTCTTCAGAAATAAAACCACATGGTTTGCTAATATAAAGTACTCTGGTGATAGTTGGCATTGCAGTAGCAGGACTGGTCAGAACCAGAAGAAAAATTTAAATGTAGAGGGCCCTCACAAGAGGGCTTTAGAATCCCTTCATAGGGTGACGGTTTGATGAGTATCAGGATACCGTTCTATTGTCTTGAGTGGATATTGTTTGTTTCAATGCCAGTTTGGTGTTACAGAAGTAACATTATCAGTCTTTGGTAACTTTTGGCTCCCATTTGTTTTTTCTCGTTTTTCTTTTTTCTTTTCTCCATATTATTTCTCTATTTAGGTCATAAAAATGAATTTACCCCACAAATCAAAACACAGCTGAAAAGGAGAAGGTGTAAAATTATTATATATGATGTTTAAAAGTCAGAGTTGAGGAGATTAGTGTTATTTACTGATCTATAAATGTTACATTATTGTAGCTCGGCTGTCTAACAGTAATTAACCTTGTGTGTGCACGAACAGTAACACGCATTTAAAAAAAGAAAATGTTTCAACTTTAACATTATTCTAACGTATTGTAAATAAAAAAAGATTACTGAAGGAATACTAGAATCTCTCTTAACACCTCTATAATTGAATTCCTTTACACTAAAACAGCAAAACAAAGTAACAGTTGATTATTTTTCAAAGCTATCAGAAACATAGTGAAAGCAGATTTATCTAGCACCTTATTAAACGTAGAAAAGACAGGACAACGGAAGGTTTGATGATTACATATCAATAATATGCTCAACCTATTATACATTTGACTGTAAAACTAAACTTGTACCCATGCAGTGAGAAGGAACGAATCAAAATTGAAAAGAGAGAACCGAAAACAAACATGTAACATACTACCAGCTGCCAGATCTACACATCTGTCTCCTGAAAGAGGAGATCAAAGACGCTCTGCTGACGATTCTGACCCCACCTGCTCCTACAGCGTAAAGGTCAGGACCTAAAAGTTGTCTGCAGCTAATTCGAGGTGATTGTGTTTAGTGGCTCATCTGTGAGAGGAATAGCCCGTTTACTGGTGGTTTGGAAAGAAAGCAGACGCTGCAGAATAAACTATAAACCCATGAAAGTAAGACTGTTTAGACAACACAAACTAAATAAAATGGATGAGCTCTTAACATATATGTACGAGGTTCAATACAAAGAAACTGCAGAGATTGCATAGAAAATGCATCTCTTGTCCAGCTTTTCATGTTAAGAATGAATTTATTTAAAAGACTAAAAAATAAAATGATTGTAAGATAAATGAATCTACTGCTGATCTCTCTTCTCCCCCTCCTCCTTTGGAGGTTTGTGTGTTTTCACACAGTTCGTTGAGAATTTGTTGCGTTCATCCAGCGCTGAACCCCCATCTTCTGGCCCTCCATGCTGGTTCTAGCTGGAGTGCGCTTCTGAACTTTTCTTTGCACAAAAAAAAAAAAGAGAAAAAAAGCAATCTGGCAGAGATTTGGAAGGATTAGAGATTAAAGGTAAACCAGAAATGAAGTCCAAAGGTGAGACTTCTGTGAGCGATACAGGCGATTCAAGGGATGAAAAAAAGTGCTGGTGGGCTGAATCCCTGTGAAAACAAACAGAAAACCAAAAATAAGAAACAAATACTGTAAAAAAAAAAAAAAAAAAAAAAAGCTTCTTATTAACACTTGCGGATTTAAAAATGGGGTTACCTTTGTAAGATGCGACTCAGATGTGTGTCTCTACGTCTGTATAACCAGGCAGGATGTCTCCGTTGGAGCAGCTCTTGGGTTCCCCAGCAGGTGGGGTGGTGGGCAACATGTGGGCAGTCGTCGACGTCTCCTCAGGCGATGCCTGGTTTTGCTGGATCCTGCGGTGGATCAGGGGCACAAAAAACAGCACCACGCCCCCAATCATAGGAGGTACCCCAGCCAGGGAGAAAGCTACTGTGTAGTCGCCAAAGTAGTCATGAAGAAGACCTGTGAATAGATCCACAAGAGAATATTAAACACTGTTTACTTAAAGAAGTAAGGAAACATTTCAAAAGTTTTGGGATGGGAAGACTTCAAGGCTTATTTTGTGCTGTCTGTTGCTAATTTTTTCCACATATGTTCTTGAAAATCTATAAATACCCCCTTAAGCATTTGCGTAGCTTATAATGGTGAATTCAGTTGTTCTGTAAATAACTATAATGAAAAAGCAACACCCCGAAGATTAAAATTAAGTTATAGAACCAAGTTTTGACTGTTTCAAGGAGCATTGTTCAATCTATCATCTATAAATGGAAAGGATACGTCGCAGCTGCAGAAACGCTGCTCAGATGTGAGAATCTGTCAACGGAATAACTTTTACTTGTGCTATTATGGCAGAGAAGCAAATAGAAAGCCATTGTTGAAGCAAAGCCAAAAGAAATCCTCTTTAAATCTCTTCAGCCAGAGAGAGATTCAAAGAGGAGGGGAAAAAGCAAATGAGGTGGATTAGCAGTATTTGCTAGCATTTGATTGTGTCATCTTACTGTGAAACATTGTCTCTGCTGCCCAGATATTGAGTTGTGTCAGGATTTAGGATTTTCTGAGTTCTCTGTATGTTTAGTTTAGGTTTCTCTGTGTCTTATTTTGATCCTGTTCCCTGTGAGTCCTGTCTCCTCCCTAATTGTTTCCCAGCAGTGTCTAGTTCCCCAATTGCTCCCTGTGTATTTAAGCCCACCTGTTGTCTCTGTCCTTTGTCAGATCCTTGTCAGTTGTCGTCGTATGTCAGTCTGTTAACCCTCCAGTAGAACTCTATAGTCCTGGTCAGTTTAGCTCTCGTGGTCAGTCCTTTGTTTCTGTTGCTACTGGTTTAAGCTTTGCTTAATGTTATGAGTAACAAAAGTGTCTTCAGTCAGAAGCTTCTTCTGATTTGTTGAAAGACTGACTGCTACCAGAATCAACATCCACAATTACTCTCTTAAGATACTTGGATGATATGAGATGTGACTTTTTTTTTTTCTTTTGGGATAATTAAAATATTTTTAAATTGAGCTGAATTATGGTTTACTGCAAGCTATTTATTGAACTCAGCAAATATGTAGAAGAAGGTGATTCGGTAAGATGGGATTAAAATGAAACATGATTTGCGTTTCATCGCAGCTTGAGGACAAATGGTTTAAATCAAAGCGTAACGATAGGTTGTGGAATGGCCCAATCAAAGCCCAAAAATGAATCCAGTTGACATTCACAGATGCTCTCCGTCTAATCTGACTCAGCTTCAGATTCGTTGCTAAGAGGAGTGAAAGGATGTCAAAAACTCTTGGTTCATGCAAGGCAAGGCACATTATTCTCCCATCAAGTCAACGTGTGAAATTGTGCATCGTCTTGTTGAACACACAGCATCCACTTTTCTTTCCTATTGTCTGATATCTTGAATATGGATTTGTCAGACAGCTTTCTAAGAAGTATCGGTCTGTTCCAAACGCATCCGAGCTCAGAGAGGTAGACCGTAAAAATGAGGCCCTGTCGTTTGTCAGCAAAGTTTAAGTAGAACTTCAGCAGCTTTTTTCAGTGGCTTGCTCTTCTGCACAAAAAGATTCGGCAGCAAACATCAATGGTACAGTCGGGTCCATTAGTGAATAGAGAATGGGTAACCTGGACAACAGAGCGGAACAACATTTAAACGTTTCGGTGCAATTGTCCTCATTCAGACTAGACCCTCGTCAAGCCGGACCTTTTATTTCAGCAGAACAGGGGGACACTGTGTGTATTTAAGCAACAGAGAATTATTTAAGATGGTTCCAAGTAATTAAAGTCACTAATGAATACATTTCAGTCCTATTAAAACATTTGCATTTAAATTGCTGCCACAGCTTTTTAGGATTTACATCAATGTTTTGCTGTAAAGTTACAAAGAAATTTTACATAAGAAGGTTTATCATCTGAAGTCGGACTCAGTTATGTGCTTAAGCAGAAGCACAAATGACTCAGACTCAGTTATGTGTCCAGCAGGTCTCTAGGTCTGTATTTGACCTAGAGACCAAATCTGTATTTGACCTAGAGACCAAATCTGTATCTGGATCTAGAGACCTGCAAGACAGAGTAAAACCACACCTGAGTCATCAAATTAGTTTTTAGTGGTTATAATTTCAGGAACCATAGGAGGAGCATCTTATCTTATGGTGGTAAAGAGCTGACCTCTGACCTTGTTTGTGCTTTTAACCTCAACACAAATCCTTTAAGAAGGCTGCAGTTGGCCTGAGTCCTAAACGTCTATAAATGCAATCCATTGTACAAGCAGCAGGGCATTTGTCCCACTTTACCTTTACTTCCAACATATTGTCTTCCCTTGTGTGGAAGTTTTTCCTGTAAACGGCAGTCAGCTTAGGTTTTGCAACAATGCGTTCCTTATAGAATACATATTACCACTCAGAAGTGAAATAAAAAAATAAACAACTCGCACCTGCAATTGGTGGACCTGCCGTCATTGGGAGGGACATAAGGCCCAGAAGGTAACCTATGGCTTGAGAGGCCTGCATGGGGCCCACCAGCTCGAAGGCGATGGGAGCCATCATGGTGAGGAAGCAACCATCACAAAGCCCCAGGAACACACACACCACCACCAGCCCCTCGAACACCGCGCACTGAGGAATCATCATGGACATGAGGCCCAGGGCCATGAAGGACGCCACCTGGAAGAGAAAATTAATAGTAACTCTCTTGGTTAAGCTCTTTGTTCTTGGATAAAGCAGTCCAAATCTGAGGAAATCTCTGAACCACATCATGAGGTCTGAAGGCTCTGTGGTATTTTTATCAGCGCTTTAAGCGTTAGTTAGCTCAGATTCCTCCAGTCACTTAATACCGCCTAATTTAAGTAAGCTCCAGGTCTGTGACAATAATACTGTGAAGAGAGAAGGAGAGGCTGCGTGTTATTCACAATGAGCTAAAAGTGTCACTTTAAACCAGAGGTTCTCAAAATGTGGGGCGCGGGAAGACGTCTGGATGAAAAAAAAAAAACATGAACACTGTATGCGTTCAGTTTTTACCTTAGAATGGCCAACTCTCTGTTATTCCTCTCTCAATTTGATACAGTAGAGGCTTCCGCACTTCCCATATCCGTGTCCTCTGTCACTTTTATCAGCAGTTAAAACTGTTTAATCCGTTGTAAACATGTTGTAACCTGTTTTTCCGAGCCGCCTTTAAACGCAACATGAGCGCTACGCCGCTCGCGCTGGGTTTCCACCTGTGAAGGAGACCTGCTGCTGCTGGGCGGAGCTACGTAGGTTTGTGTTAGAATCACGGCAGCAAACCAGCAAAACGCAAAGAACTTTTCACAGTTTTTCCCCCAAACTTACAGACTGTTGATTAAAGCTGTTGGATGAAGGTAATGTTAGCTAAAAGATGACTAGCTAATATCAATACAGCACCTTAAGCTTGTTAACAAGTAGCTTGTAGGCTACTGGTGTTGTTGTCTATGTTCAGCTACGATTCATTTTGCCCCCAAAAAAGTTGATTCCCCCCCTTGTTCGTCTGGAGCCGGGGCTGAGTATAACAGGGAGTGTCTAAGAATCCAACCCGCTTCGCTCACACACATCGTTCAACCAGACAGCTATTTGTAAGCCATAGGGGGGCCAGAAATAGTTTGGAAACCACTGGGAGGGCCCAGGAGAAAAAGTTTGGGAACCACTGCTTTAAACCCTTAATAGTCACAAGCAAGACCCGCTAAGAAGGTTTCAGCAGTGGATAAAAACATATCGAGGCTGTCCAACTTTAAAATTTCACCCTGTTCATTATACTTTACACACTCTTTCTAACCAAATTAAAATATAATTTATATACTGACAAAATGGCGACAGACAATAATGAGGCTTTAAAGGTATATTTTTATGATTAAATGTCACTTTTCTTTATTAGAGGTGATAGGAAAATGTGACTCAACTTTAACACATTTTACGAACAATACCTTACTTATTATTATTTTGTCTATATAATTATTTATTAATAATTAATTTACTAATTTTCACATTTTTGTAGATTGTCTTTAATTCGTAGTCTCAACATTGTAAATTCAGGCTTAAGTAAATAAATACAGCAACATTAATCATCACATTTGTGCAGCCATCAACAAAGACATGTGATTACTCCGTTCATCAGCAGTGGTAAAGTTAATTTAAATTGGTTGATTTGGTGGCTCAAAGGCAGTTTTTATTAATTCTTCCAGAAATGTAATATACACCTGCTTCATTCAGTCCAGAAACAGCTTGACTGTGTTTGGGGTCAGTGTCATGTTGTCATAATTTGAGGAGTAGAGAAAGAATTTGGCGGTCATCTTTTTGAGCAACAAAACAGTCCCACAGGTCCCACCACCATGCGTGACAGTTAGTAAGGTCTTATTGAGTTTTAAAGTGACTCTTCCAAACACACCACATGTCATTTTGGCCAAATAACTCAGTTTGTCTCCTCTGACCAAAATGTTTCTCCAGCAGACCTTTGACTTGTTCACGTGGGCAGTCTCAAATTTCACTCGTGGTTGAAGGAGTCTATTTTAGTGCGGGCATTTTTTTTCTTGTTCAGCACCCTCTAAATCAGAGTTCATGTTAAAGCCTTTTCACTGTAGACAGTGACACTGGAAACAGTTCCTGGGCTATTCTAGGGACATCTAGGCCAATTTCTGCCACCTGAGAATGACAGAAGGTTGTAACTACTGTACACTCACAAGAAACTGACGCAAAACACATAATAAACTGGTTTTGGTGTAACGGAAAACATAAAAAGTATACGGATTCCAGTTACAGGCCAGGTCTCCGCAGAAGAGAATCAAATACGAGATGCTTTTTATGTTTTATTCTTTGCCGTCAAATATTTACAGACAGCAGAGAATTCACTTGGAATAAATATTTCTCAGCCTGGTTCTTGTTGTATATGTAAATATTATGAACTGACGTCTGCAAATCATGCTGTCAGATTGAGCCAGTCCATAAACTTTGTGCTCCTGTGTATACGCCAGGGGGAAATAAACCCTTCTTGCTTCCGCCTGTTGTGCTTTGCCCCCTCCTGTTTTCTCAGAAGTGAACAATCAGTGCCAATAAGCAGCTACGTAATTCTCTGGCAGCAGTAAAGCTGCTTCCCCTCTTAGTAGAGAAAGGATTTTGTAAAATGAATGCATGAACCATAAATTATAAATAAATTATCCTTATAATTAAAGACTGAATTTCCACACTAGTAGAAGGTGATAACGTTACACAGCACAAAAAAATAATTATTTTGAATAATATTTGAAAAAAAATCACCTTTAGAGTGCTTACCATTAATACAATATGAACTTTTTCACCTTTTGCTCATGAGTGGAAGAAAAATTATGAATGGTTTTCAATGAAAATGTAAAAACAAAGGCATTTGCATTTAGTGCAAGGGAACACAGCAGACAGGTTGGGGACAAAATGGTGGCGAGGTTTAAAGCAGGGTGAGTTTTTTTTTTCCCAGGTTTGACAGTCTGATCAAGCTTTGTTCGATTCGTCAACTGAAAATGGAAAGAGTAAAGCAAACTACCACGAAATGCAACCACCTAAAACTGACAGGGAGAGCATTGATTAGAGACTTTGGAGGCGCTCCAGATCTCTATACCTCAGGTGTCGACACGAAAGTTTAAAGTTAGGTTTACAGTCGATGCATTGAAGTGGGGTGCAGCCTGTTATAATGACGTAAAATGTGGGAAAGCTCAATTAAATTAATATTTTTGCAATACAGATAATGTTACAGCATTCATAGAAACACAAAGGACTAACATCATCCCACATGTTCCACAACTTCCTCACCTGCATGTAGATCTTCCGTAGACCAGGAATGAGGTCTCCGATCTTTCCAAAGGCAAGTCGTCCCACCCCAGACGACGCTCCGATGCAAACCAGCAGCACCCATTCCTGTTCATTCTCTTTGAACTTTTCCTTCACAAAGTTGATCTGAAATTAAACATAGAAGTTAATATGCTGCACAAGCTCCTATGCAACTTTTCACCTAAAACAAAAGAAAAAACCTGTGGGAAGAAGGAATTATTCATCCCCTGCCCCAAATCGAGGCCTTACAATAACAAAGTGTTCTCATCAATACAACTTTAGAATGGCTGAAGAGGAATACCCGGTGCATATACATCACATTCCCTCACTCCCCTTTAGCCATGACCCCCAAAACCAGGCCCAAAACATGAAACCGCCCTCTGAAGTCTTTCCTGAGACTCCTGGTTCTTGTGAAATATTTGCTCTGCTTTGAAGAGCTCTGCATCCCTCAGTGGCCATAGGATAAGCATGTTTAGGGACACAGAGAGGCCATACAGGAGAGGCTTCCTGAGGTGGTCGAGCCAATACAAAGGCCGGGGCTGTGTTTACATCTGGGTCCGGGCCTGAAACAACAGGCCGGTCAGAGGGAGGCCGGAGTTGGAACATCTGACATCTGGATAGAGGGAGATCGACTTCGAACCTCTGTGTTGAAACTTTACAGTTCATTCACATCCCTCACTATCTCATATTAAATTAGCTACAGTTCAAGGTCACATTTTGCAATCATGAAATCTAAACCGCTATCACTGTGAAAAGCTGAACAGCACATTTTGATTTGGCAGTGATTCGACATTTTTACTATCGCTGTAATAACACAGTCAGTTGGAGTAAATATTTATGTATTTGTAATAATACTGAAAAACGTATAACCTCTTTCCTCACTCTGTAAAACAAGCTGAAAGTGAACAAAGCCTGTGATGGAGGTCAATAATTTAGTGATTTCGATGTGGAATAAGATAAATCAAGCCAGAGTCACCATTCAGCACCACAAAGATGGAGTCTGTATTTATCTTCCAAATTTAACTTAATAAAATAATTTTCCTATGAAACAAAACACAGATCATTAAAAAAACAAAGAAAAAACATCCATAGAGGTATTTTTTCTCATTACAAGCACAAATGTATGTCTTACTTATTGGGATGTTAGTGGATGGAAAAAAAATCTAGATGTTTTTTTGTTTTTTTTTTAAATACTAATAAAATTGGATGCCACTAATTAAAATCTGGTGGAACTAATGGGAAGTTACATAAATCAAGTTTTCTGTGAAGCGCTCAGAGATTTGTTAATGCACTGAGTTTCTCATGTAGCAGCACTTGATCTGTCATCTGAACATGGAAGCTGTGTGGTGAAAAAGAAACTATCAAGAAATGACAATCAACCTAAACTGACAGGCTTAGCTAGGAGAGCAAGGCATCGTTAGTGAGAGAAGCAGCCATGTTGACTCAGAAGGAGCTGCAAGATCCACAGGCTAGGTGAGAGAATCCGTTAGTGACTCACTCCACATGGCTAGTTTATATCAGGAACTTTTACAGTGAAAAGACGATCTGAGGCAGGACTTGAAAAATGACGGTTACAGATGTTTTCCATCCATCCTAACTGAGTTCTGGGTGTTTTGTAAGGATGAATGAGCGCAATATTTAGTTTCTAGATGTGCTAAGCAGGCAGAAACACGTACAAAAAGGCTTGCAGCTGTAAAAGCAGCAAAAAGGTGCCTCTTCAAAATGCTGACTCCGGAGGCTGAACACGCGTGAACACCACGTCGTAAAAATCATGCATCCCTTCTCTTTTTTCCAGTTGGCAAATTTTTCATATTTTGTGTCAGTCTATCACATAAAATCCACATAAAATATATTTAAGTTAACCTGAAGAAAACAAGACACAGTAGTTTACTAAACCATGGTTACAACATTAAAACAAAGCTTATACTTTACTGTTAACACTTGAAGGTACCAGAACACAAAACTGAGGAGAGATTTTCTTACCAGATGGATATATGGCACAAAGTATCCCAGCACAGCTGTTGCTACTCCGAACGCCCACACCCGGTACGTCACAATGTGAAACACACGAAGGTTGAAGTACTTCCTAACCCCAGCAACGACCTTGCTCCACTTGCTCATCCCCTGAGCCGATGCCTGGGTCTCAGCTTCAGCAGGGCCGGGGCCCATCCCCGGTGGGCCCATGCCTCCCCCGGTGGGAAGTAAAGGTTTGAATGTTAATGCCAGCAGGGCCTGCACCAGCATGAAGAGGCTGAGAATCTGGAAGGTTCTGCTAAGACCCAGAGGGTCAATCAATCTGTCCAGAAGAACTGGCAGTCCCATGGAAAAGAGGCTGGCTCCGGCAGTCACCACACCGTTGGCCAGGCCCAGTCGCTGCCTGAAGTAGTGACCGAGGATCACTAATGACGGCTGGAAGGCAAAGGATGAGCCACAACCGAACAATATCCCATATGTGAAGTAGCGAAGGATTAGGGAGCTGCAAATGCAAAGAAGAAAAGCTTAATTGCAAGAAAAACTGCTAAAAATGTTATGTACTACTAAAAAAATGGCATTTTCCAGTGGGAAGTATCCATAAACATTGCAACAGTAACAAGTTTATGGGCAAAAGTCTATAAGACTTTTGCACCAAATGAGTGTTTTCATTGACGTATAAAGAGCAAAGTTTGTTCCTCTGGCTGGCTAAGGAGACTTTCCCCTCTGGACATTTTCTGTAACTTACCAATAATTAAAGCTCAGCACATATCTTTTTATGTTCTTCTCTCAAAAATGTATTTCTCTTAAAAAGTCTTCATCGGTTGCAATGTATAAATAGAGGGTGAAATAAAGAAGCATTATTAATGTTAACATGTTTTAGCATTTTATTGATTTTTGACTAAATTAAAGTGCAATCAGTCTTACAGTATGTCTAAGTGCAGAAAAGTGTAAAAATGCATTCACTATGCAACTGTAACTATAGGCATCTTACTTTGCAAATGATGTTGTGAGGAGCCCTATAAAAGCCACTGCCGCCCCACAGACAGCGGTCTTCCTGCAGCCAAAGTGGTCCGTGAACATGCTGACCACAGGAGAGCAGAAGAAGATCATGCCCATGGCCAGGGCCCCGACCCAGGCTGCAGGACGAGAGCAGAGAGGAGACAGAACCATCATTAGGAACATGTGGAAACCGCATGTGTTGTGGCAATCACTGAAAGTAAATATGACCCTGTGTGACCACAGAACAAACACCAGAGTCCTTGCACCATGAAATTTTTGTTTTTATTTCATAATTAAAGCCCTGTGGGCTACTCTCATGTATAACTATGGATCAAAGGGCACAGTTTGCTTTCAATCCATCACGCACTGCTTGGACTTGGAAGAAATTCATACAAAATGGCTTTTGGAACAGCTAAACAGCTTTGGTGTGTGCAACGTCTATCAGAGACTGGTGGAAAAAAGGAACCTGAAAATCCTGCTTTATAATAATCCTTCCTGAATGTGGCAGTTATCTGATTACCACATGAGACACTTTGGTGAAAAAAACACTCTTGCATCAGTTTCTTCACATGTTTTCAGAACATTCATGTTTGCCCTACTTTTTTGTTCTTCTATAAGCTTTTTGAACAAGTAAAACCTGTGATCTCAGTGGAAGCTGTAGTGAAAGGAAGACATATGCCTCATTATGTGCTTTAGCTTCCTCAGAGGAAGTTCAAACAACATGAATGTGACACCAATCTGAGATTTCTAGAAAGTTAGAAGGTTGTTTTTCAGCAATTGAAGTGATTTTCTAATAGTTTAACAGTCTAATAATAACTTTCTAAAAGTTTTTTTTATACTTGTTTTCATCTTATTCTGCTTAAAGACCCTGCACAGTGATTGTTTAAGACCTAAAATGTCATGTCAGCCAAAATTACAACACAGAAGTGGATACATAACCAGTAAGGTATTGAAAAAGATCAACATGCTTCAGTTACAGTAATTGAAGTTTAAAAATGTAATTTAAAATGATAAAAAAAATTATATTTTTAACCCTTTTTTTTTTTTGTCCTCCCGAGGACAACATTGTAAAGATGGGTCATTTTGACCCGAGGACAACAGGAGGGTTAATATTTTTTAGAGTTTCACATAAATGTTTTTTTTTTTTTTAGTGTCTCAACAGATCAAAATGTGGATCAAAGTGTTTTTGTTAAGTATTAATAGAGTGTCCAAGCATAACAAGCCAAATGGCTCTGAGAGAGACACAGCGTGCCCCTAAAGCAAACAAAAACACATGCCTGACTCAAGTCTCCAAGGGAGCAAAGGTAGCTTGCATGTCTACCACGCTGTCCTGGTTGTGACCTAACTGATGCAACAGTTCACTGGAAAAAGGTGATGACCTCGTCTGACTTCTTAGACAGTGAAGTGAAACGTGAGCTTGGGATGGTGATCGCTGTGAAGCTTGACGTAAATATCCTGCATGTTTCTGCTCGACTTCTGAACCACTTCTGAAATGATCTTCCAAGTTTTAAAGGAGGAAAATTTTCATCCCACCATGCAGCTTCACTAATTCGACGTCAAATATGAGTTTACCTTCTTCTACCCTTCTCTGTCAACTATTTTTTTGTCACCTTTAGCTTAATATTTTCTTCATAATTTCCTCGATGACAAACAGGGTCAAATACTCTGCGAGCTCAATCAGAGCTCTCTTGGATCACAGACATGAATGCCAACAGTGTTGAAAGTTTCTGCTACAGACATTATTTTGACAGCGTTTCTCAAATTTTCTCAAGCAGCTACTCAGTTTACAAGCATCAACGCTTTCTGGCAGGAAAGACCACAGGCATCTCTCCCCCTCAAACACTCAACGTGTTTACTTCAATGTGGGCAAACACTGTTCATTTGCAGAAACCCCCATCTCTGAGACAAATCTTTAACATGTTTTACATCCATTGTTTTATTTTGCTACCCAAGACTGCCATGCACTTACAGTTTAGGTCAGAAGTTTAAATTGTATTAAAAATGTGAAATAAACCGTTGCTTTTGGGCTTTAGATATTTAGTTTGAACGGTTCCTTTTCCATAGTGAAATTATTGCATGTCAGACAACTGTAATGAGTTTTAAAAAGAAGACTCCATTCAGAAATTTGAATACTGTGAATCTTCTCTAGTCCACACATAGAGTCACATTTAAGGATTAAATTAATTAAATTAAAGTAATATTTTGCTGTATTAATTGTAATGGAAAAAAAGAGATAAAAATATATTCACAACGTTTTTTGCAATCCTTTTGGGGCAGCCATAAACCTACAAACACAAATACTGCTTTAAAAAAAACATCTATTTTTAAGGCAAGTTTATTCAGGAGACAAGTTACATAAAGAAATGTGTTTTTCAATAACAAACTGCACACACAATCTGAATTTAATTATATTTTTGATTTCACTTACACGTACCAATGATCTCGGGAAACTCAGAGGGGAAAGTATTAAAAGTAACAGTGATGACAACACAGTAGACCCCCTGTATCCGCAGGGATTAGAGACCACAGCAGCCTGCAACTAACTAAAATCTTCCAATACTTGAGACCACCGCTAAAAATGTTTATAGATGCCTATATAGATCAGACACCAAATATACTTTAATATGCAGAGTGGAAACTGTCTTAGTTTTATCACAGAAGGTAACATCTCTTCCACTCTTGGGGTCACAGCGAATCAGTGCTAACGAAAATAAATATTGGCTGCTTTGCAAACACCAACCAATAGCATGTCAAGTAGCTTTGAATCTAGGTGTTTGAACTTCCCAAGCTGCATTTTGAAATATCAGTGAAATCAGCGAGAAAGGAAATATTCCACAAAGAAACTGGAGTTTTGGTCAACAGAAAAATCTGCCAATAGGTGAATACTGAACCATGGAACAGGCAGGAGTGCACTCTACTATCACTGTTGGAGGGTTTCACACAACATTACTCAAAATTTTTATCATATTAAGAAATTTTTCATGATGAACAATGTCCAACATGTAAATTTATTGTATGTTTGTCTCAACTATAGATAAACACCATAGTCATATTTGGGTAAATGTCCCTACATAGAAACCTTATGCTTTTTGCAACAGTGAATACATTTGTCAGTGGTTGCTCTAAAAGTTGAGGACGGATATTTGACTTCATATTGGCAGATTAGATGGGTTCTTCAAAACTGGTTGATTTGGTGGAACTGACCATCTTTTAAACAACATCCACCCAGTGTAAGTAGACATAAGATTGGGCTTCAGGAAACCCATTCATCACATTTAATTTAACCATTGCCGTATGTTTGGAATCATCTTCCTGTTGGAACAACAAAATATGTCCACGTTTCAAAGATCTTGACCTAAATGAAAGGAAACTTGGTTCAAATGTTCAGGAGCCAGCCAAGAACCACAAACGCTCAAGTCTGGCACGAACTGAGAACTGCAGGTTAGCCAATGTTGCCTTCAACAATAAAGCAAGTTTTAAATCAGCATGGACTGACAAGGTGGTAATCAAGAAAGAAATCCCTTCTCTAAAATCAACACCTTCAATTACAATGTAACTTTGTAGGTCCTCACATGGACGAGTCAAATACCTTATGGAGAAACTTTGATTTCACTAGAGCAGGAGAGAAAAAGATTAAGCTTTTTGGGCACAATTACAAGAATAATCTTCGTATTGGAAGAATAAGACCACTGCACCAAGTTGTAAGCATCATTATGATGTTAAGGATCATAATAATCATAAGGATCATAACTGCCAGTGGCACAAGTAGATTAAGTGGCGGTTCTCGAACCACCACTTAGGTGAGTTTGTTATAAGATTCTGGGGCGAGGTAAATTGCAGTCCTGCAAAAACCATGTAAACTAGTCTTTCTACTGTCAGCCGCAAGGAGGGGACACCTCCTAAACAACTTCCCATCAACTGCATATGCTTGCACAAAGTGGGAAAAAACATGACAAAACCTTCAAATCCATAAATTTTTTATCAACATAATGATAGGACTGTCGAAATGTGATCAGAACTGGATGTTCTAGAAGGACAACAATCCAAAAAACACAGCAGTAATGGCAGTGGATGAAGCAGGCTAGCATTAACCTTTTTGCGTGGCCCCGACCTGAACTCAAAGAACAGAACGAACTGTACCCAGCAGAGTCCATTTTCAGAATAGAGTATGTTATGTGCTTCACTGGCTGGAGACAGAGATCATAAAAAAAAGATGGACTGAAGAGGCTAAAGAAAAAAAGACCAAACTCAGATTTTTCTTCCCCAAAATACTAAGACCATAGTGGGTTTGCGTTTTTCAAGGTTTTTGTTAGAATGGCCCTTGGTGGTTGGAGGAAGTAGGAGACTTGAGGCAGAGAAACAGTGCAATCCCACTGGGTGTTTATTCACCAGCATTTAACAGAAACAACCCTTCTTACAATGACCTAGGGTCTCAGCAGCAACACAACCATTGTGGCCAACATGCAGCCTTTTATAGTCCCTGGCTATTCCAATTAACAAACCCACCAAAAACAGGGTAAAACAAAATACATACACACAAACAAACTTTGACAAAATAACCAAATCTTCAGAATAATATACATTACCAAATGCTATTCATTTAAACATCTCTAAAAACAAATCTCTATCGATAAAAATATAAATCCAACATTAAATTTATAAAGTACATAGCTCTATTGCTCCCCCTCTTCCATCTGCTTTGGTCTCTTCTGGAACCTTTAAAAGGTGCTCAGGCCCCTGGGGAATCTTTTAGCCTGAACACCCTGCAGAGGAAGAGACAGAGGTAAGCCACACCCACACAAAGCCTTCAAACATTTCAGTGCATTTCAAACAATCACAACACTTATATTGTCCCTTTGTTGTATTTTAACAGGACACCATCAGTTCCAGCTGAGATGCCACTGTATAAAAACACACAATCAATAAAATACTTCAATCTGTTTCTTTTATCAATCAACACACATTTCAAGTGTTGTACAGCCAAGTAATGAAGACCTTCATTACAGTTTTATTGGATCTAGTGGTCTTCAATTGATAGTGAATTGACAGGAAAATGGGTGATGAGAGAATGGGGAAGACATGCGGCAAAGGTCTTGTTACGAAAGCAGCATTCACTTGAAAGTTTAAAACCACAAAC